CCCTGCCCCCCCCCCCGGCTGCTGCTGCTGTTGCTGCTGCTACTGCTGCTGCTGCTGCTGCTGCTGCTGCTGCTCGTTGGAGATGCCAGTCCTACTGATGCCGTGCATTCCGACCCAGGCGGTGACCCAGCTCGAAGCGCAGAAGCTACTCCTACCGCCACCCCTCCAAACGCATCCACCACTCTGGATCGGTCGGCCACTAGCAGCATCGCAACGAGCCCATGCCTTCGGCATACGCCTCTTCCTGGGTTGACGATGGGCGGTGTCGGTGTCGCATGCTTGGCCCTTCTTCGGACCAGGCACTGCGTCGGGCTGAAGTACTTAGTGAGATGAAGCCCAGGAGATGGAGAGTCCATTCGCTCACCTCACAATCCCGCCCGTAGAAGAACGAACTGCTTCCCGACCTCGTCGAGTAGTACGTACGACCACGGCCTACTGTGTGTTAGTTGGTAACGAGAGGCCCGAGCGAGAGAGAGTGCCGGCCTGGTCTACCGGCCTATTGCTTCGAACTACAAAAGGTTAAACAAAACCGTCCTTGGCGTGTTTTTTTGTCAAAAAGGGAGGGGAGAGGGGCGCTTATGACGAAGAGCCTTTGACAGACCAAGCACGCGACATTTCATACTCGCTATTGCACACGCAATCCAAACACACGCTGGAAGGAGCGCATGACACCGCCAGCGACAAGCCGAGCAGGTGGGGGCCGGAGCACAAAGCCAAGGCGACCAGTAGCAACAGGGTCGGGGGGCATGAGGGCGAGAGCGGGAGCACTCGTATGGTTGTTGATGGCGGTGCAATCTCGAGCCTTTCTGGTTGCCCCAGCAGTAGGCGGAGGAGTGTGCCGTCCCCGAGCTGCTGCTGGTGCTGCTCGCACCTCAGCAGCGTCGCCGCTGATGGCGTACGACGTGAAGTATTCGCCAAACAAGTGGTGGGACGAAGATGACATCGTGCCCGGCTTTGGAGGGATCTGGCCAGGAGACCCGGACGCAGAGACCCATCATGTAAGCAGTAAGCGATGTACACGTGGGAACATGTTCAACGTGATGCAACGAGCTTGGACACCAGTGTCGCGAGAGAGTAACGCACCAGGAGGGAGAGACTTGAGACCCTTTGTTGTTTGCGACACAGAGAGCCGTGAGGACGAATCGTCAACCGATCGAAAGCGTCGTCAATACGCTGTGCACAAGTATGTTATTGGACATGTGGAGCTATATAATTTGCTCTGTCAGGAGGCATCATGCGATTCCTTAGCACATCGTGAGTACGGTACCCGAGGCACCATCCGTAGAGTGGTCCATGTTTCCAACCGGAGCCTGTCCGACAACTATCTGTGCCTTGCATACTTGTGCACAGCAGTTCTTCTTTGGTGTTATGCATATCTTGCAAGTAGAGCGGCGACAGCGGCTGACACATGTGTTGCAGGTTGCAATTCTCCATTGCGCCGCCGTCTCTCGGGCGCAACTTGAGCATCTTGCATTTGATGTTCGTGTGGACGAGACTGGCTTTCTCGCGACGAATGATCGTACAAGCAGCCTATGCATTCTCGTTCCAAATGCAATAACGCAGATAGCGATATGTGCAAAATATGTGGTGCGAGGTGTACCCTGCCCGTTGTGCAGGCAGTGCGACGTTTGGTAGCCGGCTGTTGCTCGTCCGAGATGGGAGTGGGAAAGGCTTGTGACGAGGGAGAAAGAAAGGCCGAGTGCATCTCACCCACGTGAGGGGTCAACGGGGTACTGCAGCTGTAGGACCCCGCAAGATGCGAAATAGTAGCACGTGGCCTCTCGGCAATACTCTTCTGTTATTCCGTAACATATCCGTAGAACTACAATCGGCACAACACTGCTGTTCAGATTCGGCAGAGATTACCGTAGGTGGCATAAGATATCACACCGCCTACTGCCATACTGTAAACCGATTTTCGAAGCTCCACTACAGCAGTACCCTCACCCCACATCACTAGGAGTGATGGTGCCGAAAATGACGGCGTTGGAACCTCGTCGTCGAGATCTCTCCGAAGACGTATCGTTTTGTTATATACACTTGTATTGTATTGCATACCTTGTTGGGGCAAGTCAGCAGCCTGTGGCCACGGGAATCGACCGCGTCAAGTGTTGAACTACAGTAAATAGTGCGGACAGAGAAGAAGGAACTGGGCAGAGAGAACGGAACAGTTTGGCATGTGAAGACAACAACAACAACAACAACAACAACAACAACAACATTGTTGCATCCTCTTCGTCGTGGAGCAATCGAGCTTTTGAAATCGATCGAGGGTATGTGATATGTGTTTGTCACGTGTATCCTTGCTATCTAACACCCCCCCTTGCTCGCGTTGTTAGTAAACCAAATTAGGTATTTCCCGGACGCGCGTGTAGACTCGAAATACTGCATACGAAATCATTACTTACGGCAAAAACAGAAATGCTACTTGGAATCAAGGTATATATTTCCCCCTAGAGATTCGAAAGTGAAACAAAGCAATGGTACATAATGTCCGCCGCAAGACGACCAGAAAGCCTACTGGCCTGTATGCACAGCATTACGGCGGCTTTGATGCGAAGATGGCAATCGCAACAGCAACAACAACCACTACTTACGATGCTTCGAATGAAAGGTGACGTACGTGAACAAGGCCGGCGAAGAGGTGGCATCGGCGGACGTGCCAGTGGACCGCTACATCTTCTTTGCCACGGAAGACGCGGGTGTTGACGTCCCCATCATAAACAAGAAGAGGATGTGCAGAAACGGCTGCTGCACAACGTGCGCCGTCAAAGTGTTGGAGGGAAAGGCACGTGTCACCAACGATGTGCCAGGATTCCTGTCGAGAAGTCGTTACCGTCTTAGTCTTGCTCCTTTTCACGGAAATTCTATTGGCAGTTTAGCCTAGCGCTTTTGCGTCCATTTGTGAAGTCCAACGCCGTGGAATGTCCAGCTTGTATCATGCCATGTGATGTCGGACGACCATGCTAGCGTTTTTTTTCCCTTGTTTTGCCGAAAGGATACACGAATCAGGAGGACTGGTCGGTGGACCGATCGATCACTCTATGACCTCGAGCTTAACCCATGGTATCATCACAATCTCCGAGATGTCCGAGATGTTCTCTTCGAAGCCGCACGGAGCTTGTCGCTCTTTGTGGGCTGTTTCCAGGAAAGCTGCACAGTGCACAGCATGTATATTTATATCAGTAAATCTTACGTGTGACAAACCGTATTTAGCGAACGGTCGTTTCCCCGTGTGTAATGTTTTGTTCGACGTCCGCCGCTATGTATCAGGTGAAGCAAGAAGGCGCGCTCGGTCTGTTGAAAAACCTTAGGCAGGAGGGATACGCGCTGACGTGTTGCTCGTACCCCAAGTCAGACCTCGTGGTGCAGCTGCAGGAGGAAGACGATGTGAGTTTGCTACATACAATCCTACATGCATGCGAATAGGGTGATTTTTCGATGTGGACCCCCGCCTCACGACGTCCGACGTCATCGGCATTGAAAAAACACCAGCAGTTGCTTCTTTTTCAGCTCATCACGCTTCTCACATGCCGTGTATACATTTTGTGGTGCTCTGGTACGGCGGGTTCATGAACCCGCTGTTTGGCCGATTAAGCTGCCATGATAAGAAATGGGAACAGTAGTGGTTACAGTCGAAACTAGGAATGAGCTCAATGGTTGGTTGGCGCGCTCAGTCTGGACGACCAGGCTGCGGTGAGTTACCCCCATTTTTGTGTGATCATGTTCTCACCGAACGGCCCATTTCATTCATAGTGTGTAAGGGGTGCCCACTGCTACCGGCAAGCTTATAATACCCGACGTGCTAAACTCTTTACGACAACGCCTCTCGTCTGTGCTTGGTGCCTCCTTGCTTCAGGTGTACATGAAGCAGTTCGGGAACGACTTCGAGGGAGGAGGAGTAGAGTGGGGAGGGTTCTTCCTTGACGAAGATTAGGACTGTATTTCTTGTGTTAGCTTAAGACTTGTACTATAATAAGTAAGATGTCGACGGAGGGCATGTTACGGCCCCCCTGAGCAACATGTCCGGAGGGACCGAGCACAATGTACCACCGTTAGTGCTGTGCAAGCGCAATACGTTGTGTGTATGTGGTTGTCGATGGACTTTGGTTTCACGGCGATAACGTCTGATCTTGGTCGTAAGATGCTGACTGACTGGATGTTGTTATGCTGTTTTCTCATCTTGAAGAGAGAACTGTGACGCCCCTTATCCCCAGCTTGCATGAATTCCGACAAGATTGGGGCACACCTTTTCTTGTCCACATCGACATCAACTGAGTCGTGTTGGAGTGGTGCTAGCTCACATTGTCTGCTTCGTACGGTGTTGACTATCTAGACTACTTGGAAGTGCAAATGAATGACAACACGTGCGTTCTGAGGGCATGCATGTGTGTCATCGGTGATCACACCAAAAGCTGTATACTTCCGTGCTGACCCCATTGTAATACCTTCTTTATTTTTTGTCGGGTTTTGGATGGAAGGGCGAACACACAAGTACGACAGAGATGGCTCTGTCGACGCGGGGTCTAGACTTGAGGCTTATCCTTCTCTGACGTCGCATGTAGCAGGACACCCTAAAATTCGTCACCACTTAGGGGGCCTAGAAAGTTTAACCCTGGGGCACCCGAGAAGTGAGTCAAGGTTGCCTGCATGTTGTGTCTCTATTTTCAGCCCCACGAAGGCTGGAGAATATGATCAACAAAAGAGCAACTACTCGCAACGGCACACGAAAACTACCCGCATTTTTGCGGGCGGGACGAAGAGCGTAATGACGACAACCAGGGTGGCAAAATGGTTCAGTTGAGGGCCTCGCAATCTTCTGATGTTTGGGGTGAAAACTAAGGCGAGCATTGCAGAAGGAACAAGGTGAGCAAAACAAAATGGTTTTGACCCCGGCTCATGCATCCAAAAAATACCCCGACAGGGTTGTACAGTAGGGGGCCCTCTATAGTGCCGGTATGTGTTCAGAGAGCAAAGCGGCACTATACCGGGCACCGGCACTATTCAGAGTACAGAAAGACTTGATATTCCGGTGTGTGCGAGCCGAAAACACCGGCACTATACCGGCAACCGGCACTATTCAACCGGCACTATATCGGGCCACCCACTGTAGAGACTGTAATAACGTAATAACCTCCAATAATGAGTATGTGCACTCTGGGACGATCCAAAACCCATTCCATTCATTCGAGTGGCATTGACGTTGGACACAACAAGGCAGGCCAGTGCAGTCAAACAATATCAACGAAGAGGTCTTCAGCCAGAGAGGCAAGGCCAAAGAGGAAGGGTAAGTAGGGAGGGTGCAAGACAACGGGAAATCTCAACCTAACCGTTAGTTTCCACACCCCGTACCTGCTTACGAGATCCATCTGCGATGCCTCCGCTTTGCTGCAGGTACATACGTGTTGCCTCCTCCGCGACCCAGCCAGCAACGCTGCTACAATACCATCACACGTCGTCAGTTCCTGCTCGAAAATGGTTGCACGAGCAGCAATTTTGTCAGTCGCCTTGACGACCAGCGTGTGCTCGGTCGGCGAGGCCTTTGTGACGCCCAACATCGCAGTAGTGCCAGGCGGGGCGTTTTCGTCTCACAGAGCAGCACAGGCCGCACGCCCGAGACGACCAGCAGCTCCTGCTGCTAAACCAGCCCGTAGCGGACGCGATGATGCCCCTCTCATGTCGACATCCACCGACCTGAAGGAGTTGGGGCTGACCCCGGAGCTGGAAAGGTTGACGAAGGTGTTCAGGTCTTGCCCCACGGACAAGATGCGACAGATGCAGCTCCTACACCTCGCGCAAATGGGCGACAAGATGGACCCGGCTCTCCAGACAGAGGAGAACAAGGTCTTGGGGTGAGTTGAGGTCTACTACGTGTTGGAAAATGTTTTAGAAGCAACGTGGGTATGGCTTTGGTCTAGATGGCGACTGTTCTCCAGCGAACATGAACACAGGATGTAGGATTCTGCTGTGTGATGTGGTAAACTGCTTGGACGAAGAGTCGGACACCGGCGGTCCTTTCGGCACAGCGAAGAAAGTCTCAATGTACTAAATTACTGCTGTAGACGTGTAGACTGGATCTTCTGTGTGTGCGGAAGCTCTCGCTAGCAGTAGCCAAAGACTTATGTGCGGTGGTATTAGTTAGAGCTCCAACGTTCACAGCAGGAACCAGTACGTGGGCGAATGTGAACTGTACCACTGCCTGTAACTACTCTGTACGGGGCTGCAAAGACTTGCAAAACACGTGTCGACGAACGAACGACGCGAGGTCTCGGCACATCCGTCGCGGGCTGCGACAACAAAGATCACAGGGCGTATCTGCATGTATTGAACCCTGCATCTGCCCGAAGGGCGTCGTGTACGGCAGCAGCAACCAACGCAAAAACGAAGCTTGGGAAGGAGCGCTGTGGCGAACAACGTGGAAATCCGAACGAGAGTGAGTGTAGTTGAGCAACGCGTCTCTCATTGCCGTTCCGCTTGGCTCTGGCAACGCCCTTGACCTCGTCATGTTCGTTGTTCCAGGTGCCTCTCGACCGTGTACGTTGCGGCGGAGGTGAAGGACGGCCTAATCTACTACTCCACGGACTCGGACGCGATGATCACCAAGGGGTTGGCTGGCCTTCTCGCGATGGGCCTTTCCGGTAACTCGCCGGAGGCCATCCAGACCGTCAAGCCAGAGTTCATCCAAGTGGCCGGCCTTCAGGCCAGCCTCACTGCCGGGTATGTACGCCGCGCTTGTCGTATCATCCGAAACATCTGTCGTGGTCGTTGATGTCTTGTTATCGTTTATTGGAGCTTCAGATAGATGGGGTTTCTCCTTTTTCTATTTTTAGGGTGCTCGATGGGTGTGACATGTGTTTTTGACCGCACCACGAAGGGCGAGGCGCGATGAAGGCTCCACGTCTCCATAGTATTGCAGAGCGCACCAATCAGGGTGGGCTTCTAGCCACCGTGCCATCCGCCAAGCCTACTGGTGTTGCACTGCATTTTGCCCTTGGCCACTTCTTTGTGAATGTGTTGTCAGCCGCTCCTGTCGTCGTATTTTTTTACCTGCTGGAGCGCACATCACGTCGGCATATTTATGCGGCTCGTGTATGGTTTTGTGGGTTCGCGGAAGCGATGGATGGAGAAAAATAACTCATATCTCCGTCGGGTACCTCATCGCCTGTAGAGAGTCGGCACAGACAACAACACCCTGTTTTTTGTGTTAACTACATAGCGCGAGAGTCGGCACAGACTACACTTAACTGTACGATATGACCCCGTCCTGATGAGCGCCCCTTTCATGTTACACCGAGGTTACACAGTACATGAGAGTCGGCACAGACTACACTTAACAGTACGATGTAACCCCGTCCTTATGAGCGTCCCTATTCATGTTACACCGAGGTCGGGCATGGGACGCATGTGCTTGGTCCGGCCCAAGTTGTGGTCGGCGTGTGTTGCGTGCTTCTGCGTTGGGTGCCGCACCTAAACGCACTTCGCATCGCCGCTACTGCACGTAGGCGAAACAACGGGTTCATCAACATGCTACGAACGATGAAGGGGAAGGCGCTAGCGTTGGGCGGCGAGTCGGCCATCCGCGCAGCTGTGGAGCAAGCAGCCCCGGCGGCGGAAGCAGCGGCGCCGGAGGAGGCGGAGGAAAGCGGGACGATGGCGTCACGGATAACAGAAAGGTGAGAGAGCGGAGCAATCATCCGTTTTTGGCTTGCATGCTGAGGACTTCGCCACTGGTTACGTTTCCAGGATAGACGAGAATATTGGTTGACGTGTTGGAGGATTCGCGCCGTGTGCCTGTTGCCGGGCGGACAGAGACGGTGTAGAACTGACGTACCGGTGAATCTAACGCTTACCGTTACTTTCGTCCTCCGGTTGGCTCTCACCCCGTGGTGTCACCATCGCTCATGGTACCTTGTTTTGGTGTCATTTCCTAAGGTGATAGGTGTTGCAGATATTGGTAAGTAAACGGGCTGGGGACCCGTTTTGGTCAATGGCTCATAGGGCGAGTTCTGGTTCAGGTTCCTTTCCGTCAGATTGTGGACGGTACTTTATCGTGAGGCAATACTACCACGAAAAAATTGAAAAATCCCGTCCCCAAAAGGCATATATTACAGTCTATGGAGAATGGGCTGTGAAGCAACTGCCCACGTATGGGATAAACGGGAGAATGTGGAGAGCACCGAAGAAAGCGACAGAGTGAATGAAAAGCGCTGTCATGCTCCACGGGGAAATGTCTTAGTTCTTAAACATCAAACAGGGGGTCCCACAAGGTTCATCAACGATCTGTTGAAAGTGTTGAAAGTGGTTGGGACAGTTGGGATGGGAGTAAAGGTACGGGAAACTTCGGTGGTGGGAATGCAGTTTGCGGATGATTTTTTCGGGATGTCTGATACCCCTGAGGGACTTCAACTGCAGGTTGACGCAGCGCTGGATTTTTCTGACATGTGGACAAACAAAAGTGCCGTTACGGTATGCAACGAGGACAGGGAGAAACCTGTAGAGTATTGATGGAAGTGGGGTGTCGAGGAGCTTCCAGCAGTGGATCAGGACACATGTCTTGGAGAAGAAATTGCAAAAGACGGTTCGTTAAATGCACACATGTCCAAGGTGACGGAAAAGGGCAAAGCACGAGCAGGGAAGCTAAACCCAGTACTCGCAAACCGGCACCTCGATACACGCGTAAAGTTGAAATTTTGGAAGAGCGTAATCGTACCGCCGCTAGAGTACGCCGAAGAAGTATCGGAAGGAAATAAGAAGGCAGTCGAAGAGCTTGAGGCGGCGCAGATGAAAGAGGAGAAAATCATCGTAGGATGCTCCAAGCGCACAAGTACTGCAACCGTCAGGGCAAAACTGGGGATCCATTCCCTACGATCGGGAAGAGACGCAAGGAAGCTAGAATGGTAGTACGGCATGTGCGGTATGGGCGAGGAGCGGTTGCTGACAGTAGCTTGGAAGGCGAAGTAGGCAAACAAGAAGAGGGATGGACAACCCACGGAGTGCGTCAAGGTTGTAGATGACGTATGGAAGGGGTTCGAAATTGTCGAGAAGGTGATACGCTGGAGACGGAAGGTCTACAGGGGTTCAAGAGAAGATATCTGTTGCGTTTGCCGATAGAGAAGCACAGAGTCTAGCCAAAGAAACCAAGGACAAGGAGGGTCTAGAAGTATACGGAACGTTCAAAGGAGGAATAGGGTTCAAGGAGTATGGACCAATGGATGCGGGGACAGCGCTGGAGGTCAATTTTAGGACCGGGTACATTGGCCTTCGCGAACGTAGACGAAATTTTAGGCAGGTAGACGATGAAGACAAGTTCAAGTCGGAGTGCGAAGACCGCGTTCATGTAGTTGTGGAATGTCCGTTATACAAGGAGAGCGACGTGTACATGACTACGCTGGGAAAAAGTAGGAAGGTACAGGGAGATTTTTATGGCGAGGAAAAGCGAGGAAAAGACGGTAGCTGTACTAGGACACAGGAAGTGGGTTGAAAGGGGGGATCGTCAGGCTAGTGAAAACATTCTTTGAGCCACCTTTGGCAAAGTTGGAACGGTTGGCCATCGGTGATTGGTCCTGTGGGAGCAATGCTTCGTCCTCTATAGAAAAGAACGCGTGGTGAATCGTTTAACCGCTAAGGCATTCCAAACATAAAGAGTACGCCGCCCACCCCCCACCCCCCCCCCTTTCTGCTGTTGTTCATCACTCATTTCCGTCTGACCTGCTGCATTCGCTTGTCTACCGCCTGTCGTCCTGTCGTATTCCTAGGCTGCAAAAGCTGGAGCCGTTGGAGCTGGTCATCGAGGACGAGTCAGGCGGGGAAGAGTCCAAGTTCATGATTAAAATCGTCAGCAAATCCTTCGAGGGCCTGACGCTGTTGAAGCGGCACCGATCCGTGTACGGCCTCATGGCCGACGAAATGAAAATAGTACACGCGGTTACCCTAGACACGAAGACGCCCGAGGAGGCAGGAATGTAGGGTGGAGGATGCTGCCGTGTGAGCGTTTAGTCGCGAGCCTGGGTTGGCTTGCAAACTTTGCGTTGACTTGCAACACTATTGTCGGTCTAATGTGGGCTGTCTACTACGGCAGTCACGTGCGGTTAGCATGACTCTTGTGATGTTTTCGCGCGACTTCGTGCTTTTTTTTTGCGCCTCGCTGCATGCGTTTGTCGAGAGGGGTGTGTAATTGTTCCTGTGGAACACTGTGTACGAAGAGCTTTGGGTTTGATTTTCGATGCGCAGGGTGGGAGCAATGTGTACGAGTGTGTTATACAATTGGTACTTTCGCCTGGTGCAGCTAGCCGTCCTGCACGAATTGACTGATAACGAATTTTCCTTTCGCTCTATCCGGGAATGAGAATTGTATGATTCTCCAGGCAGTTTTTTCCCTCACGAGTGAAGACCATCCATGCCTATCATAGCAACGTATTAGTGGTAGTATTTTCTCATACATCGTGAACATCATCACACGTCCTGCGTTGTACAGTATAAGGGCTCCTGTTTCTCGCCTGCCTCGTTCGTGCCACCCGGACCGCCTACTACGCAGGATGTTAATATCGTCGAGAGAAAGAATACGGCGGGAGCAGACAGCCCCTGACTCTAGCCCCAACCCTACCCTCGATACGGATTGGAAGTTGGTCCCATATGTGTGTTTCATCTACGTTGCCGAGTATTCCACTATGTCGCCCGCCAACCCAGATTTTTCGTGTCCCCCTTGTACACGGTACGGGCACTAGGTCAACGCATCGCTTCCGCTTGCGGCGAAGGGTGTCGACACGTGTGTGTAACGGTTTTGTGTGTTTTTCTTATTTACGCCACATTGGTTCACACTAATTTAATCTTTTTCAAGATGAGATCGATGCTTCCACCTGCCCGTACGATTGCGGTACATCACAGGTCCGTTCATGACTTCACTTGTTCAACCAAAACGTGTGCATACCCGGGAATGAAATTGCCGAGTGATTATCTTTCTCCGGCTTTTCTCCGACTTTGGGCATGACAAGGGGAAGTCTACTTCGTGCAGCGGCACCAGGGCTCAATCTGTTGCGGATACATGCCGTCAAAACGTGTGACGTAGAGGGAACACACTAGCGATCTGTTTATGAAACAAAGCGAGTAGATATGCGCGTTCGTGAAAGTGATCTAGTCGTTCGGCGCTTTCAGCGGGAAATGTTTGCGACGAAAATCGTTCATGTTCTATCCGAGGATGTGCACGAATTGAAAATTGTCTACAATAAGAAAACACCGCTGCTGTATTGCCAGTGTGCCACATAGGGTGGGGTACCGTAGCCCACACCCTGAATCAAAGCCAAAGGGAGAAATTGGCAATCTCTCTACACCGTGCGGGTTTGCTCACATACTGCACTGCATCACGTTCCCACGGTAAACTTTGCCGCTGGTCTGGAAGACACGGCCGCTCGACACTGCACTACATCAGACTGCGATTTGAAAAGTGTGAAATTCCAGCACCACAAATTTAACACCAAAATTATGCCGAGCACCTGGAAAACGCATCACGCGAATCTCATGGGACCTCCGTGTGGGATAATTTCATGCCAACAACCGCCCTCCTGTGGTCGTGTCACACAGGCGATACGACAAACGAATAACTGGGTAGATAACAAACTCAAAACTGTACAAAACGCTCCGCAAGTGCTTGTCGCGTGCTCATACTCCCCTGAGAAGCAACCTTGGCCAACTGCCTCCACAACCGACCCTGGGGGAGGAACCGCTAGCCGGTGTGAAACGAAAAGCTCTTCTCGACCCCACAGGACTACCAGTTCCTCATGCGCATTGTTGATCACCATCGGAGGTAAACTGCGGTGCCTCTGCGCGAACCAAAGCAGAGACTGCATTCAACGGCAGCCGCTAAAAACGTTCACACACACAAACAGCTGTCTGAAATCCACGAGGCTCCCAGCATTTAGGAGAAAAAGTTGGGGAGGATGTCCTGCCCGTTAACCAACTCCTGGACAAGCATGCCAGCGGTGCCGATCATGGCCAGACGGCCGTTGTTAAGTTCCTTGGTCTTCATCGCGTCCAAGGCCTCTTCGGTCTTGGGCTTGATGTTGAGTGGGTCGAAGCCGAGGTCTCCCGGGATGTAGTCCTCCTTCAGGCCGCCCTCGCCGGTCACGAAGCTTGGCTCGGCGAAAGCGGTCATGATGGTGTTGTACTCGACGAACGCCATCCCGAGCAGAGCAAATGCCCAGAACTGTTTTCGTGGCGATATGGGTGAGGGGGGGAGAGAGAAACAGGTGAGCGAAAGGAGATGTTCGGTTGCGTGCGGCGCGCGGCACGGAATAACCAGTAGATGGCGGTATTTGCACCACAAACGCATAAACTATCGCCGTGCGCGCTGATCGGTCTAAGGCACTGTGGTGTGATAAGAGAAATTTGACACCAACGTCAAAAGCAATCATACTGTGTTCCATGAGTGAGAGCAGCAAAATAGTAGCTTGTGTACCTCGTTGAAACCGGGTGTGTTTTTTTTTTGTTTCTGGCAGAAAACCTACGACCTGCGCATACTTTGGCCTTGTAGACATCAAACATCCTCATACCTCGGGGAATTGCGCAGAGATCTCCTGGAAGTGGATGATGGCCGGGCCGATGAAATCTTTACCCATGAAGAGAGGATGGTACTCCTGTGAACGGCGCGGGGCGTCGAGATATGCGGGAGGGGTAGGCACGTTTTATTTCACATGCCGAGTCCACAGGTGGATGATCCTTTCACACAAAAGGTGCACGAGGTGAGGCTAAATCGAGAAATATGCGTTTTGCAACAGTCGGTTGAGACCCAGCATAACTCGATTTGGTCGGCTTGATCACGAAAAACACGCTGCATCGACACGATGGAAGGCACGTATACACTGCTGCGTCCCTACTACACACACGAAGAAAACGTGCAACACTGTTCGTATTCTACGCGAGTTTTTTTCGCAAAGCTCAATAAAACACGAGAAGCGACAAGAGTCGAATTCAAAGGCTGTCCCCCTCCCCCATGTCTACCCTCATTCCTGGATGGACCTGCCCTCTTCCTTGAACCCATATTAGTACTACAATGGTATCCACGAAATACCAACAGCAAGAAAACATGGCAATTTGCAAATGTTCTAACGCTCGCTCGACAATACACCATACTTCTGAGTTCAAACCACCAATATCCTGTCCGCTTTCAAGTTCCGGTGTCGAGACTACGAATGGGAGCTGACCTCTGCGACGAGAATCCCGAGGGAAGCAAGCATGGCCACGCGCCCGTGCTTGATCTCGGCCTCGCGCCACTTCTTGATGTCGCCGGGGGCAGCACCATCCGAGAAGCTGAGGGGGTCGAAAATCTTGGACACAACGACGGCAGGAGACGTTGCGAGTGGGTAGAACAGTCAGAACCAAATTACTCAACATTGACCGGATGGATGTACGTAAATAAGGAAGCTTCTTGTCTGTGATCAAGCTGGTCGCACAGGCTACTTCCATGTCTAGCCCGGTCGGACTATTCTTCCCATGGGCACAATGCGGAGAGAAGTGCGAGCTGCGAACGGGGTGTGTTGCCGTTGTCGTAAGCGGCACCCACGGCGAGTAGTTGTATGCACGTTTTTCTTAGTCAAGTCTACATAGCCCGTCACAGCAGTCGTCATCTCGACAGGTGGACGTACTCAGTCAGAGCGGAAAACACGCCTCCCCGACACCAGCAAAGAAAGCATCCCAAGGAAATCATCAGCTGTACACAAGAGGGCTGGGCACCCGAGGGTAGCCGTCGTAGATAGTCGGATAGTTTTAGTCACAAGCGAGGCAGAAGAGAGCACGTAAGCATACAGTCAGCTTAATAGAGCGAGTTTTAATGATTTTCATGAGTCAGCAGATGTAGAATGTGCGTGACATCTACAGCAGATCAGGACCCTGGGAGGAGAGCAGAGGCCCAAACAGTGCCGACACATGTCCAAGGCCACGCAACACAATCCCATCCCAAAGCTGGGCATGTCGCCGATTGCTCGTCTCCCTTGTGGGGACATCGTGAGGGCCACTAGCTCCGGGTTAGGAGGAAATGCTATACGTAGACCAAGCGTAGATACCCACCCTCCGCGCACGCCCTTTCGCATCACTTGTAGATCAGACATACGCACGGCTACTTTGTCATACTTGGCTAGATATATTTCACCTTTCCATCGCCGAAGGGAGCTCCGGGCAGGGTTGCGACGTAGTCGGACCCAGCGCTCATCTTGAGGGCTGAAGCAGGGGAAGCCGGTGCCGCAGATCGCACAGCCATCGGTGCGATGAAGGCAGTCGAGGAGGCGATGAGGGCGGCGGCAGTGCCGAGGAAAATCTGGGAGGCAACCATCTTGCTTATTGGGTGTAGGATGTGGAAGAGGAGGGAAGGAAAAGTTGTGACCAGGGTGGGGACGACGAGTGTTTGCGCTGAAGCAGAAAACGATCTGCGTTGGCTCGCGGCTCAAAAAACAAAAAAACTGCTGCGTCGCTGCGTCATGGTTTTCTGCGGCGTGTTTATTCCGCGCCGCATGCTTCACCTCAGCCAATGACATTCGCCGTTGGGTTTTAATATTACGTGTTGCGCCGCACATCTCACGTCATCGTGCGTGGACGGTGTACAGTCAGTGCGTATCTTCGCTGGTGCGCCGCGATGCTGTCTCCGTCTCTTTCGCTGATTAAACGTTGCAAATGGAGAAACAGACAGACAGACAGACAGACAGACAGACAGACAGAGATATAGAAAGACAAGAGGACAGACAGATAGCAGTAGGGCGAGGCAGGCTGACAGAGAGCCCTTCGACCAACCAGCAGCACACAGCAGTCCCACCCTTTCTCACATGGTAGTACAGTTTGTTAGATTAATCCATGCCAAGAGCTTTTGGCCAACGAAAGCAAACAGATGCAGCTGCACATAATAAACAGATACAGTGTGCAGGAGATGACTCGGGGGTGTTCCGCGGTAAAGACGAATTGTCTCTCCCGCGGCGAGGAAATACTCGAATGAAAAACCGTTTTTGCATACATGTCTAAAACGACGTTTAATATAAAAGCATAAAAAAAAAGAGAAACAAAAAAAATGTGATCGGATCGCCTTGATTGTGTTTTTTCACCGCGTTGCCGATTTCGGCGCCTCCATTTCTCCTCGGCAATCGATTCCGCTTGGCCGATTTAGAGGGGGTAGAGCCACTCAGAAAGTTGATCAGACAAAAACTCGACGTGGGAACCGAGAATCCACAATCCCAGGAATTTTGAAATTGCTCAGCTACTGTCAGCTTTTGAGCAGCTGAAAGTCCATTGCAAATCAAAACTGGGACATTCCAACAATGTATTTGTGATCCCCACCCCAAAATTACCCTAATTCGAAGTCAGGAGAGATTGAATCAACATGTAGAAAGTGTTGCGGGAGGGGGGATATTTCAGTGTAATTCCTAGTAATTCCAGGTTATCCCTGCTTTCGCGCATATATATCAGTGCGTAGCTGTATCACGGCCGCATCGATCCTGATCGAAATTCTGACGACGGATTCTTGATGTACAACACAACATTACCCTAACCTGAACATTTTTGACGATTCGGAGGCATTTGCAACTTGCTCGGGGGGCCCGCAGACGCGATTTTCACCCAATTTGGCCACTAATTCATCAATAAGTCATCACCACGACACCCAAATGGGAAAATAAGTATATTTTCGTGATCCTCGTGACCTAACGGATGTTGGTACAAATTTTCAGAGGTTGGGAACCATTTCTTGCTGGTCATTGAAAAACTCGTGGAAACTATTCGTCTTTACCGCGGAACACCCCCTCGGATAGATCAGTCTAGATACCCACAGGCAAGCCGGGGAGGTTCGCTGAGAGAGAGTCGAACAACAGGTAATTGATTTATTGATCCACACATTTATTTTTCGTTACATGCCAACCGGTACACAAAATCCTGATGAGCAGTGCTACACTGAAATTGAGTACAACTAAAACGTAGAGGAGATACGTACAAAAATCTATGCACTTCCATACCACGCACCCCCGCCTCTGTTTAGGTTCTCGAATCAACTCTATTGTAGCATAAGGCGTATGGCCATGGAGCTATTCGCAGGCCCTCAGGCATGTTGGGGTGTGCTGAAGCTCACCTCGGGATTGGTCACAGCAGGATGGACAAATCTCACCGGATTCAGCGGTGGACCGGGAGATAATTCTTCTCCGTGCACGGATGACACCGCTTCGTGGGAGTGGGGCGGCGACGTCGTCATCAATGCACGAGGAAAATGTTGTCAATCTCTGGACTGCAAAGACGGCAAGGTGTGCTAGAGGACGTTGATCGCCTCGTGAAGAATATTTTATGACTGGTTAGATCTGGTTTCGATCGTGATGTGTTTAGGATGCGACGTATTGAACAACTTGATACATGTAGACTAGTTCGTGGACACGTCAAGCCTGTGCAAACCCTTGATAATAGGTCTTAAAGTGTAGTCTACGCTAATGCCCGACGCTGCACTCCGCCCGAGATTTGTGAGATAAGTTGTTCCATGTACTACTTGATCCCACTAACTCAACAGTCGTGGTTCAACCCCACATTCTTGCCTGTGGTCGTCAGTATGCTCGCGCAGATGGAATGTTCTCGTGAGGTTATGTATGACCTATACTAGCAACGGTGCGCAAGAGCGTGAACGAGTGTCGTTCCGAGAGCATGGGCTACTTGGGGAGTGTTACGGACAGCCTGAGAGCTACCCTACCTGTGTGCTCATGTCTTGGCTTCTCCGTCATGAAGTGGCCGAAAGCAGAATTATGACGCGGCAAACGGATTGCCTAGTCGACCAACGCGAATAGCATGCCTCCGAGTTGGAAAAAATACCAACGTCGCTCTTCCTGTTATGTTCCCGTTCCCCACCCCTTTCAATAGAACGTCTCGCTGAGAGCTGCGGGAATGTCCCTTAAAGGCTTCGTGGCCAGCGGGGGGGATATCGATCATCTAAATACTGTAAAGCTATAGCGAGACAGGGAAGGCCTTGCTTCAGGGCAAAGCCCTTGACGTCCAACTCAACTCAGCAACCGTGGCTGTCTCAGTCGGCTATGTCTACAAGAGAAAGGTGACTCATTTATCCGACGACCATCCTTGAGCTGCGTGCTTTTTGGTTGATGCCCGAGCCAGTGCACGTTTTCCGCTGCCAGATGTGTCAAAACGCCGCCCAGGATCTGTGTAGGAATGCATCCCATAGAAGCCGACTAGGCAAGATTTGACTGGATGAAGCAGTCTTTTGTCTGTTGCGGTTGTCACCACTCTAACCTCTGATCCCATCTACCTTCAGTACCTTCTATCGTCCCGCTGCATTTTGGCGTAACTCTGTCGACGAGAGTGCTGACGACACCGCAGCTTCTATACAGTTTCTGACAAACGTGCACATAGTTCCAGACAGGTTGGTCAACAGTTGTGTCGCAGCTCTCGTACACAGCAAAACCAAGGCAATCCTCTTGCCACTTATCACCTTGACGGTTGGTTTCAATGCGATGCAAACGTACACGCTTGCCGCTTGAAATATGAGATTTTCCCATACTGCAACTTGCATCCGTGGTTTTGTAACCTCACACTTGACACTTGACATCTCTTCTCTGCCCATACGATCTCCGTCCATGTTCTATCCCCCCTTCACCCGGCAGACAGAGTCCCCGAGCGCGTCAAAGCGTTTCGTGGTAAACAAGACGCTTGCGGATGTTGTGGAGACCTTTGCTCCCCTGTGGGCAGACGAAGCACGCTCTACCACGCCTGACGGAATGAAGGTCTTATCGTTCCTGCTCAACGTCGTATCCTGCGTGTGTGCGCTCAACGCCCGAGAGCGAGCTGTCCCTCCCTTGCCTGGACAAGCGGCTCCTTCCAGCCTTTGCATCCCTCTGCACGAGTGAGACCTACCTATCCCGACGGTACCCGGAGGTAGCGGGGGTGGCCATCCGCATCAACAAGACCGTGGCAGAAATGTGTCATCTAGCCGACGAATTGAAGGTGGATGTGAGTCACTGCGAAAGCAAGGATGATGTAGTTCAAGCCCTACTGAAGTCCGGACAGTCACTTGAGCCTGCGTCTGCTCCACCACCAGCAGAAGATCCTCAGGCAAGCAAGACTACTGCTCCTGCTGAAATCCCGATGGCCGTCGCTATTCCAGTTGGAGAGTTTCCGGTGGAAACGAGTGTGGACGTGCCCCCGGCGGTCTCCGTTCCAAGCTCGGTGATCCCCTCTCCAACCGCTCCTCCGGCGATTTCCTCTCCAACCGCTCCTCCGGCGGTCTCCGACCCGAAGCCGACGATCTCCTCCCCAACCGCTCTTGCGGCGGTCATCACCAGTGAGCGGTAGGAAAATGGACGCCAACACGGACCGCGCTGCCCTCATGGCATTGTATGATGCGACGGGGGGGGAATCGTGGCAGAACAACTTCGTGGGGCACCTCTGCTCCGCTCAGGGAGTGGCACGGCGTCAAAGTGAATGATAGAGGTCGGGTGATTATGGTGGAGTTGCGCGAGAATGGGATGGTAGGAGAGCTCTCACGAGCTTTCGACCTGACGGCATTGGAGACGCTGGCTTTGGCAAGAAGCGAGACTTGTGGACCGCTCTTGCCGGAGGTGGGAAACCTTAGGAACTTGGCGAGGATGTTTCTAGAAGTTCAATGAAATAAGCGGACCTATACCAAAGAAAATTGAGGGTTGCAAGAAGCTCAGGACGTTCGACATTGGGTTCGACTGTTTTTCCGGGCCCATCCCCAAGGAGCTTGGACGTCAGCCTTGCCTCGGCGAATTACACCTCAGGTACGCGTTTCTGTCCTCGTTCGAAGGATAGATTAGGCAAGGATAATCAGGCAAGAGTGGTCGGTAAATGACCACGAGGCATTTTGAAGGCCGTGTACTCCCGGCGGGAATCGGGGATGACTGTTGATTTTATGGTTCTCCCCCCCTTGGCTTCCTCGACGGTCCAATTTCAATGCTTAGACGCCGCGTCTGTAAACATGGCGGTGAAACTGACAATATCCATCGCCATGTTCCACTTCGCGCTCTGTCTTTGACTCAAATCTCCTCAGCAACAGCCAACTCATTGGCGTGATACCGCCGGAGCTTGGGGATCTCAACAAGTTGGTGAGCTACTGTACGGTTCAGCACAGGAAGATGGTTGGCCACTTCCTCAGCGGTAGCTTACGTCTAAGAGTCTCACGCAAATCGTGTACGGAGACGCGTAAGTTGATGAGAGTTGTAGTAAACAACTATTGTACATGTACACCGCAATTTCAGAAGTTCGGTAAATTGCGTGGGCCAAAAGCTCAAACATGCACCGTAAATATTGTGAGTGAAAGGGAAAATGACAGAAATTTGGTGTCAGTCGGGGGTAACTCGGATGTCCGTACGCGCGTCGATTGGCCTTGACATCGTTGTGGGTTGACAAGGGCCGTTGAACCGCGTTATGCCTTCCTTGATGCCAAAACAGACCTGGCTCCAGTGCACAAACAATCAGCTCGCAGGGACGATACCGATTGAGCTCGGACGTCTTACGCACCTGTACAGCCTGGAACTAGGGGCAATGCACTGATCTCTAACATTCCTCCGGAACTGGAGAATTTTGCGCGTCTTTACTTGCTGGAGGTCCGTTCTTTGTTTTTGTATGAGCTGTCATCTGTGGAGTTTGGTCAAGGATAGTCACATGTTAGAAAGTCTGCGACTCGGGCCTCCGCGGTACGTATACATTTAGGGGTATACGTCTATGGTTTGGATGATGAACGGGATCCTACATTCTGGGCACTCGTGTGTCACGCTCTCTCTGTCTGTTCCCACGAACATTTGAAGGAGTTAGGTGTGTCATCGCTCAGTCAAGCCTAACATCAGCCCCTCCTTGCGGATGGCAGCGAAGCGAAACGAACAGGTTACGGCAGGAAATCACAAATTGCACGCCCCTTAGCACGGCAGCTGTACGCTTGTTTGCACTTTTTCACGTGATCCATCCCTCCTCGTCCTCAATGCCCTATCCATACCACCGCCAAAAAAAAATCCAATCCAATGCGTTGTCCGGCCCCATCCCGAGTGAAGTGGGACGCCTAGCAAACCTCGGGAGCATGTCGTTGGCTGGAAATCAACTCACTGGCCATATCCCCCCTGAACTTGGCGACCTGGAAAGCGCCACGGAACTCAATCTTAGGGAGAACCAACTGTGTGGTTCAATCCCGTCCGAGCTAGGGCGCCTCGACAAGCCGCACTTCTCACGTCTGTGTAACAGCAGTTTGACTGGTAGGCGGCCACACCGTTGCGCACCCGTCGACTGCAGGTAGGCAGAGTAGAGGCTCCCACACTGTGTACATTGCAGAAGCACAGGTTCGCTCTCTTTTGCCCTGGGGTGGCATCTTGGAGCGGCTTCTTGGAGCGGTATCTGAATGCCCTCCTTGCCGAGCACCAGCAACTTACGACGATGGTAGTGCTGCACAGCCTTTCCCTCAACCCTGAAACATCTCGCCTAATCCCGCACAACAGGCTGCATTCCACCTCAGCTGGGGGGATCAAGAATTTGTCTGAGATGGACATCAGCAACAATGAGCTAAGTGGCCAGATTCCTCCCGAGCTCGGCGAGCTCAAGAAGCTCAAACTCCTGAGGATCAACGACAACGACTTGAGTGGTGAGATTCCACCAGAGCTAGGTGCGTTATCGGCGCTGCAGACGTCGGTTGACAGCACAGCGCTGTCGGCGGGCCGGACTCAGAGTCGACGCGATTCCTCCCTCCCCAGTGCGCCGGTTCACTTGCATGGCTAGAAATGTCTTCAAACGCACGCTGCTACAAGGAGGCGGAAGGTGCATCCCCGACAAGATGCGGCATCTTTCAGACTCGACCGACTGAACATAGACTACTGTTGAAGGCTACAAGTCTGACTCTGTTTTCCGTTGACATCAACATATATATTTTGGTACAAGCTAGACTTGCAAGGTTTTCGACGGGCATCATGCCCGGTTTGAGCACATGGTTGATACTTGCGCACGCTGCCGCATCTCTGAACTGATATGGGACAAATTTGATGGTAGTTAAGTGAAGGGACAGACTTTCCTAGCATCGATTTGCGATGCAATATATCGTGAAGGGGCGCTTCCAACTGTCATCGAGCAAAGGGATGTGCGGGCGCGATAGAGTACGGGAACCAGAGTGCAACCTTAGAGCACGGTTGTTGTTGCGAAAGGTTCTGGAAAAACGGGTGGACGGCGTTTTGGCTGGAGAGGCGCTTGTTTCACGTTTGAAAACTTCTCGAATCCTGGTCATTCTCGTTTCACCGACGATGTTGGCGGTCTCTATGTCCAAGGTTAGAATGAGCCAAAATTCGTCCAAAGCTGTTTCAGGATGGAGTGTTCATAAAGATACCGGCACGTCTGGTTCCGGAATGTGGATTAATTAGAGCACGCAATGATATTTGGCGGATATTGTACTTGCATGTTTTGGCTGACTAGTAGTCTTGTGGTCATCGTGCTTCTAACAATGACGACGATACCGATCCACATGTCCGATCGCTCTCCCAAGACGGAGTGAGGAGCCTCACCCAGTTTGTCTGGCACAGGGCAGCAAGACCAAGATGGTATCCCGAAATGGAACCCACGTCAAGGCAACCCAGCGGTGCAGACACTTCATCGCCGGTGACATGAAATGGTGAAAAATTGTTTCCGAAGGCAAAGTCTCCCACCACATAGCTGAAGAACCGGCAACAATTTTCACCTTCGGGGAGACCTGACATAACGCCCATTTTGTGTTCATCTTTGCAAGCAGTAGGCAAGGGAGGGGGTTACCAACCGTTCATAGTGCCCGAGTCCGTCAAGCTTTCTTTCAAGCCACGAACACGTCTCCCCAGGGTTGCCATCCCTGTGATCAGCGCTGTCTTCCCCGGAGATCACACCGGTACAAAATGTTCATCGGATTATTTTGCGAAGCCTATTTCACAGACTCTTTCTCCTCATACATCGGACGTTAGATTGAGAAACACAATGACCACTGAAGTACTACTCAGCGCTAGTAGTCTAATGGTCATAGTGCTTGTCAACTGTCACATCCAAATGTGCTAGTTTATTGAGATCGGCCAACACAGACCTGGAACAAACTCTCTCTTACGGAGTATACCTTTTCGGGTTCGCTCGTCTCCCGGTTCGTTGCTGAGGATCTCCAGGTTGCATTACTATATTAATTTTGATTTACTAAAGGGTGTACCCTTTTCGGGGTAGTTGGCCTGTGACCACGGAAGGCGTCCGCGTCAGTTGGGGAGGTCGGTTGTTAGAACGTTTTTTCCTGTGAAGACAACGACCGCAACAACAACCCTCCGTGTGTCGCCCGTTGTGTTGGCGGTGACCTCTCGTGCTGCATGCTCTTGTTTATTCTCGGTTTGCGGTCACATGTGACGGGGCGCCGATGATGCTTGTATGTGGGCCTCTCGTGCTTGTAGAGAGCCGTCAGCAATAGACCGTTGTACGCATATCGTTCTCGCTCTCTCTTGCCGTGGTAGTATTTGTTGCACCGTCAGCATCTTTGTAGCTTTCAGTACGCGTATCGCGTCAGCGGTCAGTACTCATGTCGGGTACTATTGACCTCCGTTAGCCCGCGTGTTTGTGTTATGTTCCCGTTGTCATCGGGGTATTATTGAAACAAATGAAAGACGTAAAGCAAAAAGAACAACAAACAATGTGCCGGTCTATCCAGATGGATCGCGGACTTCCGTCGTCAGTGTTTTGTGTCGTGAGTGCCCGCCTTTGTGGTTTCTGCTTGATTCCCGAGATAAGTCGCAGCGTCCATCATCGTGTTGGTACCATGGGTGTGCCGTCAAGCCTTTGCGATCTTCTACATAGGCGTTTCTTTCGGGTGAATAACCCTTCCGCCACTTTTCGTCTTCCCCATTTCATTGAGACATTGTCTTCCTCGTGGGCTTTCTTGCTCTCGTCAATCTCTGTTCGTCGCTCTTCGACATTGTTGTCGGTCCTGGACTGGATCTACTACCTGGTCGTACGCGTGAATTCTATATTCTTTCTTCCGCTTCATCGGTGAACGTCTTTCCCAATATCTCGTCATTGGAGTCACTTCCGCCGACAATAACCCGTTCTCAGTTCGGGCGTTCACTGTTTCAAGACACAGGCTGGAGCAGATGTGCCTTACGGCGGAAACGGTTTGGCCGGTACAGGCGGTTTCGCGTCTTTTCGGGGGTTCGAGGTTGGCGGAGGCGGTTACATCAACACATGGCGGAAACTCCGAGTTGGGTAAATATTGGACGGTACTTGTAGGCGGGCTTGCGTTTTTCGGATTTACATGTTCGACGGTAGGCGGGCTTGTGTTTTTCGGAGAAAAAAAATTGTTTAGCCTGGGCCTGAAAAACCAACTGGCGGTCACCGGTGGTTTACCATCCCAGCAGGGTAGTACTTCCAACCTTTCAATATCATTTCGCCAGCAGCAGGCACCGCGAGTGTGACGATCTTGTGCCTGCCGCTACCTTTGCTGTCTGTGCTGCTTTGGGCTTGCAACGCCGACGCGCTCTCATCCACGGGATTGCCCGAAGCAGGCTGCGGCAAAGTACCAGACTCAGCCGTTACACCGTTAGAACTGGTGTTCCCTCAGGTGGAGCACGTTGGGTTTATAGTGTGTGCGACCCATGCGTCCCTGTTCATCCTCCCGCACAGAACCCCGAACAACTCCTCGAAGTGACCGTTTCGGTTTCTTGAGGAATCACAGAACGATAACACAAAAAATAATTCTGTCTGTCTGATACCGTTCACTCCGGAGCTCCGAACCACGCACTTTCTTAAACCGAACATCTGAGGCGCGAGGAATCACACCATCGGCGGTCCTGCACTACTTTAGACGCCCTCAGCAAGTTCCACCGTAATTGGTGCCTTCTACGTTAACGTTTGGCTGTGTCGGTGGCCGGCCTTCTCAAGCACGACACATGAGCATGCAGCAGGTGCTCCCGGCACCAAATTAGCCCGATCTCGATCAATTGGGGCGAAAACGACGGTTGCCGTCGATCTATGCATACATTGATTGATTGGTAACTGAGTGTTGTTCAAGAACATTCTCCTCTAGGAACGCGTGTGTGCCTTTGCCTTAGCCGCTTCGGTACAACTGGATGTACACATCTACGACGTGAAATACTCGACGCAGTACCGCCACGTATCCCTGCCCTCTGATCAAGAACCTGTTGAGGCGACTATCTACGTACCCCGCGCCCGCCGAATGCTACACGAGGCTTCAGTGAAGGAAGTCGAGAATATTGATCGAGTTGACCAGTTCCTGCACCAGCATGCCGGCGATGCCGATCATGGCGAGGCGCCCGTTGTTAAGCTCCTTGGTCTGCATCGTCTCCAAGGCCGCCTGGTCCTTAGGCTTGAGGTTGAGGGGGTCAAAGCCGAGGTCTCCAAGGCTATAGTCGTCCCTCAGGCCGCCCTCGCCGGTGACGAAGCTCGGCTCAGCGTAAGCCTTGGTGATGGTGTTGTATTCAATGAGCACCATCCCGAGGAGGGAGAACGCCCAGAACTGTGGTGGGGTCGATCGCGGGTGAGCGTGAGTAAGAGTGTAGGACACCGGGTGAGGACGACGAGGCGAGGGCGGGGAGCTCTCCCCCAATGCATGGAGGCTCGCCCACACCGGCGAGGGTCTCATCTACAGTGAATGGCAGACATGGCTCAGATTGGGATCGCGAAAAAAGCGTTCATTAAGCAAAGAAGGCACTCTGGAGTACGATGTTGTTTTCATACGACACGAAAAAGAACAATGCTACACCATCTATTCTACACGTTATTCCCGTATATAGATCAGTCTTCCTGGTGTCAGTACCACTCAGAAACAACAGCGTTGGGCGTCATCAAGGTGCAAGTATCACGTTAAAAAAACGACGCGTAAATAACGCGACAAGATGAAATGTTTGTTCTTCGCAACGAAGTGCCGTTCTTCCACAAAAACCGTCGTTGGGTGACGGACTGACTTGCCCTTTCGATATGGGGGTCGTCACGGGCGGAAATCGCATGCTCTTGCCTGCGTGCCTGCATACCATGCAAGCGTTTGTGATCTCTCGAGTGTGTTATCACCGACCACAACCATGTGCGTGCAAGTCTGTGACCTCAAGCACCGCCAGCGTGACTGCGGTGGAGAAGACAGACGATCTGAGGGACAGCGGTTGCACTGCCAAGTCTCCCTTCTCGCTGATATGTTTTGAATGGCGCAAAGGCTTGCTGGGTGGAAACGATTTGGCGCGTTTTGCCATATTCTTTTTCTCATACCTCGGGAAACCGTGCGCTGATCTCCTGGAAGTGGTCCACGGCGGGTCCGATGTAATCGGGACCCATGAAGAACGGGTGGTACTCCTAAACGAATGCAGAGCCATTGAGGAGGAGCAAGAATGAGACACTAGCAGGTGCGAGAAAGCAGGCTCAGTCCAAGTGCGGTGCTGACATGATGCTGTATCAGCTCTGATGTACACACCACGACATAAAGAGCAGCTCATGCGGGCGGGGGGGTCCGCTTCATTCGCAAAATGAAGGATATGAACCAAACGCGGGGGTGGCGGGAGGGGGGGGGGGGGGGCATTAGGCGCTCAACACGAGGGCGACGAATTGAGTTCGTGATGCACTTCAATTTGATCTTCAGCAATATGGAGCTGCTTTTCACAGTTGAAAGAAAACTGGCAACTGTGGACTGCAAATAGTTGCGCATTTTGCACATTTTCCTTTTCATGTGGGCCCCTCACTCCATTGAGCAACTCGGCCAGGCCCATTCTTCTATTTATTCTAAATCAATCGATGATATTTTTGATTGGGGGTGAACGAAAAATGGCCCCTCTTTTTCGCATGTCTCCTATTGTTGTGCATCTAGAACGCTACGAAAAACTTTCGGGAAAAACGTCTGAGTCATTCTTCTGGGTGGAGCAAAAGGAAAAAGCGGGAACGATTCGTTTGAGGGACAACAGTGCGGTGGTGTTTGACAACAAAGGTCGCCTTTTTGTCATCAGAGAGCAACGTCGGTTGCATCTCACCTCGGCCACAAGGACGCCGAGGGACGCAAGCATTGCCACACGTCCGTGTTTGATATCTGCCTCGCGCCAGAGCTTGATGACTCCAACTTCAGCGCCATCGGCCAAGCCGAGGGGGTCGAAGATCTGTTGATACACCAGCGATATAGACCGGCAGTCAGGACAACACGGAGAGAGTGGTGGGGGAGCTAAAGCTGCAGTAACATGCGCTTTGGATCCATACGCTGCGCGAAGACACACTCATCACATGTTGGTGCCAGCACATGCCTGCCCATGTGACATCTATGCTGCGAACGCGCAGATAACCACGGGTGTGCGGTCGACTTGTTGTGTGGAGATCATTTGCTCGACAACCAGGGGTGCTCGCACACAGGCGAGAGCATATTGCGTAGCGATGAAAAGCTCGACTAGACTATAGCTACGGCAGGATTGGATGCGCGCGTTTTCGATTCATGATCACCTTTCCATCCGAGAAAGGAGCACCGGGGAGGGTGGCGACGTAGTCTGATCCAGCGGTCATCCTGAGGCTGGAAAGGGTGGCGGTTGCCGGCGCAACGGACCGCACAGCCATCACCGCAACGAAGCCAGAGGCACACGTGATGAGGGTGGCAGCTGTGCCAACAATCACCTGAGGGTAGATCATTGTTGGCAGAGGATAGTACAGAGGATAAATGCTGTCTGGCAACAATTGCTCTTCCAATGTCATGTACAACAAAGGAGCAAATGCAAACGTGCACAAAAAGCAGAGTTAAGTGCATGTTGTGCCCGCGTGCCCGCTCTTTTACTGGCTCTTTTCGTTCTCTGCCCTTCGAATATTAATATGATTATTCTGCTGTATAGCCGTCGATACCCAGGGCAAACTCACCGTGGATGAATAGTTGTACGACCTACGTATGTCTGTACTGATTCTCGCGTAGCATATTGTACAGTGATAAACTCCCCCATGATGTCGGTAACAGGTGGATGCCCGTTTTCTCTCTCCCCTCTCTGGATTAGTCAGCAGTGGGAAGGGAAAAAGGGAAGTTCTAGCAGGACACTACAAGAGACTTGGAGTGCCCTCGGAGAATGAAGCTTTTGACCAAGCGTTTAAGAAGGAGGTGGACGCATGGGCCCAAAAAGAAGAAGAGACATCGAAGGCAGACGTTGGGAACGTAGAACTAGAAAAGGAGTTCACTGAGGACGAGGTTGAGGCGTGTGTGAACAAGCTGAAGTGCCACAAAGCAGCAGGAGCGGATGGGATAGTCAACGAGTTCATGAAGTTTGGGGGGAAGGGGATGATCCAGCTGATGGTACTGCTATACAATTGGGTGTGGAAAAACGAGTATACGCCAAGTAGATGGAGGGAAGGAGTGGTTGTGAACCTGTTCAAGGAAGAAGACAAGACTGACCCAGGAAACTACAGGGGGATCACACTGTTGAACACAGTAGGAAAAGTGTTCTGTAAGCTGCTGAACGATAGGATAGTGGGAGTATTGGAGAAGGAACATAGCATTAGTGAGGGCCAGGCAGGTTTCCGCAAGAAGAGGGGGTGCGTAGACCACGTGTTCACGGTAGGGAGAATCATCCAAGGTAGAAAGAGGGCGGGAAAGCCGACGTACTGCTTCTTCCTGGACGTGAAAAAGGCATACGACACCGTGTGGAGAAATGGGTTGTGGAAACAACTGTCCAAATACGGGATCAAGGGGAAAATGTGGAGAGTGCTGAAGAAGATGACAGAGTGTACGAAAAGCGCGGTCATGCTAGACGGAGAACTGTCAAAATTCTTCGACATTGAGCAGGGGGTCCCACAAGGTTGCACGCTGTCCCCAACATTGTTCCAGGTGTTCATCAACGATCTGTTGGAAGTCGTAGAGGCAGTCCGGAAGGGAGTAAAAGTAGGGGACACGGAAACGTCGGTTTCAGGAATGCTGTTTGCGGATGATTTTGTCGGTATGTCGGACACCCCTGAGGGACTGCAACTGCAAATTGACGCGGCGAAGAAGTTTACTGATAAGTGGAGATTGTCTGCCAACGTTCAGAAGAGTGCCGTCATGGTATGCAACGAGAACAAGGAGGAACCAGTAGAACATAGATGGAAGTGGGGGATCGAGGAGATTGCAGTAGTGGACCAGTACACATACCTCGGAGTAGAGATCGCAAAAGACTGCTCGTGGAATGCACACATGTCCAAGGTAGCGGAAAAGGGCAAAGCACGAGCAGGGAAGCTGCACCCAATACTCGCAAACCGGCACCTCGATACACGCATCAAATTGACGGTTTTGAAGAGCGTAATCGTACCGCCGCTAGAGTACGCCGGAGAAGTATGGGAAGGAAATAAGAAGGTAGTGAAAGAACTCGAGGCGGCGCAGATGAAAGCAGCGAAAACCATCCTAGGATGCTCCAGGCGCACAAGTAATGCAGCCGTGAGGGCAGAATTGGGGATCCAATCCCTACGGTCGGGAAGAGACGCGAGGAAGCTGACCTGGCAGTATCGCATGTGCGGGATGGGAGAGGAGAGGTTGCCGAGGATTGTATGGGAGGCGAAGTGGGCAAACAAAAAGAGGGGTAGACAACCCACGGAATGGGTCAAGGTTGTAGAGGACGTATGGAAGGGGCTCGACATCGACGAAGATGAAACGCTGGAAACGGAGGGTCTACAGGGGTTCAAGGAGAAGATATCTGTTGCTTGTGCCGAGAGAGAAGAACCGACTCTGAGGAAAGAATCCGAGGATAAGGAGGGTCTAGAAGTGTACGGAATGTTGAAGGAAGGAATAGGGTTCAAGGACTACCTACATGGACCAATGGATGCAGGAACAAAGCTTAAGGTCAAATTCAGGACCGGGGACATAGGCCTTCGAGAACGTCGACGAAGACATAGGACGGTAGACGAGGAAGACGACGAGTTCAAATGTGATTGCGGCTTCGAATGCGAAGACCGTGTTCATGTAGTCGCGGAATGTCCGTTGTACAAGAAGGAGAGGGAAGTGTACGTGACTGAGCTGGGAAAAATAGATGGAACGTACAGGGAGATGTTTGAGGCATGGAATAGAGAGGAAAGGACGGTAGCTGTACTGGGGCATAGGAGGTGGGTTGAAAAGGCGGGAAGGGATATCGTTAGGATAGACAGACTAGGGAAGACATTTTTGAGCCACCTTTGGCAAAGTAGAAAGGAACGATTGGCCATCGGTGATCGGTCCTGTGGGAACAATGCTCCGTCCTCTCGAGGACGCGTGGTCAATGGTCTAACCGCTAAGACATGCAAAACATAAGAGTACGCCCCCCCTCTCTCCCCTCCCCTCTCTCCGCTCTCCTCGCTCGGCCCGTCCTCGAAAAAGGTTCTCGATTCATGGATCTCGCCGCATGTTGCTCTTCGGGAGCGCTTCGGCGCACAAACCACGACGAAAGTGACACCTACACTGCTGTGTTGGCCTGTTTCGCATCTTTGGCATAAAGGCATCGAAGGCAGCACGACTTCGCGGGGCTTGAAGCGTGGAGCTGACACAACCGAACCCTGCAAGCACCACGTGCGAGCTCAGGGAACTGGCTGGCTACACATTTTGTCCATCTTCGGCCATCATGGGATCAGATCCCACTCACGTTTCATCTGACGCGGCCGAGTCCGCCGCCCAGAGGTACGCCGCGAGACGGTTGTACCTGACTGAGGATGACGAGGGTGCCCTCTTCGGCGGGACTACGCCAGAACCAATGGGAAAGACTCTGAAACCACCAGTTTTGTTCATGTCCAGGCGCCAAGCCAGAGCTGATTCTGCCTTGCGTACGGTGAGAATGATGCAATACATGCCGCGACACAGCAGAGGGCCGGCGTAATTCGTGATTTGAAGCCCTTCATTCAGTTCGAGACATTGCGACAAGCGTCAGCGATATACTACGAGTATGGGACAGGTGTGGTAAACTTTTCACCTTCCTGCTCTGTTGGGACCTGCCTTCGAGGAATAGATTCACTCTCTGTTTCAAAACTGCAAAATGAACCTGGCGTAATTATTGCGTCGTAGACTACGTACAGCAGTAGACCTCTGTTCAACCTCCACGTAACCTAACCTCCGAAGGCCGCCTATTTGAAGTCCCTTGGTAATAAACTAGCCAAAGACTGAGTCTTAGGCGGTTTCTTACGGTTTAAAAATTCCAGTTGAAAAATTCAATTCCCAGATCCAACTCGTAAAATCTCACTCGAAAATAGAGCAGCCTTCTTACGGATCGACGGAATTGGAAACGCTAAAAACAGGGGGGGGGG